TGCCCCGAGCAGGAATCCATGGAAAAACAATTGCAGGAAGGAGAAGTCACAGCAATGAAGCCATATTGACGCCAGATTTCTGTAAAAACAAAAGGGAAATCTGGATAAATGAGGCTTCTCTTCAGTTGGGGGATTCTTTTTTTCCACTGAAAAAAACCAATCCCAAACATCACACAGCATGGTTCTCATTAGGACCCGCTTTTCCGGCTTGGGAAGACAGCTTGGTATGAAAATAAAAATACACATTTGTGATTCAGTTCTGCATTCACCATATACCTCAAACTCCCTGATACTTGGTGGGAGCACTGAGCATAGCCAAAACACATGACTGAGCTCCAGCTCTGCACTTTATGAAACCGTGCTGCCCCTCGCCAGCATCGGCTTTCCATCAGCGTACATGCTGAGAATGAACTGCGTTTAGAAAAGTTCAGCTATTTACATATTTTCCATTAAAATGCTCTTAGTTTTCTCTCCCTAGACTGTCTGCATTGTTCCTAGTTTGCACATATTTCTTTAATTTGTGACATATGTTAATGGTGCTCCATTCCAAGCATTTGAGGATGCAAAAGTTATTACAAATGCCACAAGTGACACAGCAATTTAGCAAAACACTGAAGTGACTGTTTCAAAAATCCTTGTTAAGCTTTGGCATTGTTCCCCTCTATTTTGTTCTTGCCACATGACCAGCTTTTTGGTTCTGGTTTGCTGGGGGTTTTGTTTGCTATTTTAGCTACAGAAGCAAAATGCAAGATAAAAAAGGCTCATGTTTAATTTTTCAATTAAATGTCATGTTTACTAGTGAATAGGACAGATAAAATAAGTTAAAGTTACAGCTTGGGGTCAAGCACACTGATATTCAAGCCCCTTTCAGATGGTGCTCTTGGTAAATGCTTCATCCTGAAATGAAGCAAGAGGAGGGTACAGGAAATTAGCCATTTGGTTGTATTTTGTTGTTTGGGTCACTATAATAATCTTTTGAAAAAGCAACTTCAAACTCAAAAATGAACAAGTGAAGGAAACAGAAGAATTACAAATGGATAATGCTATGATCTAACTACTAAATTTCCCACTGGAGCCTCGCGGGGAGAACACTCTTATATAGATTAACGACAAAAATATCTCATATGGCTCTTAGGACTTGATCCAGCTGTGCTGTGGGAGGTCAGGGGGACCGCGCAGCCAAACCCACAACGCACTCCCAGAACACCCCAGCCTGCACAGGACGTGCAAATGGGCAGCTGGCAATTTCCTCCGCCCTGCCCTCCTCCCTCCCCGTGGTGACATCCAGCTCTGAAGAGCATTTATTTGTCTGAAGGAAAGTAGGTAGAGCTATAGCTGTTTTTAGAAGGATTTGTCATCTTTTGACCTATTTTGTGTAGCAAAACAAGTTTTAGACTAGTAATCATTTAGGCATATAACAGCATCTACAAAGTACAGAGGAGCCTGGACTGCTGTCAGCATGAGAAAATACCATCTCCCCTTCTCGAAGGCCATGGCCTCTTACCACAAACCTAACAAAAATCCAAACCAAAGCACACCGATTTCCCTTATGCAGCATCAGAGATTCAGCACTCCTGAGTAAATTAACTACCTGTTCACTCAGGCCATCTGATTTTGTAGTACGCCATTATGGATCTTATCTTCCTTTATGGTAAAAGATAGTGTTGAGATTATGACCTATAGAAAGTTCCCGAGAATGGCTGATCAAAGCCACAGGGAAGGCACCGATTTTAACTTTGCAAGTATTGCTAGTATTAGCAAGAGTTGTTTTACACAGAGAACTTGCACAAGTCTATTTGGCTCCTACATGGAAAAAATAAAATTCAGAGGAGCTAGCTACCTACAGTCAAGCTCATCTGAGAAAATGCAAGTGCTGTTTTTGAACTCGGATGTGGAAAACAAAAAGATGTATTGCTTTCTCAGAATTTTAGATTAGATCAAGAAGAAAAGATCAAAGTTCTACTTTTTTGGCATGGAAAATAGTTATGCAGTTTGTAACAGTTGGCATTTTTCAGTGCATTGTTCTAGTTTTCCTAAATGAAATACTAGACTGCTTGAAAAATGCATCAAAACAAAATATAGGTGTCATATAAACTTGTTAGACCAAAAAGTTACCAATAGCCCACTTACAACACGTTATCAGTAACTGTATTTGAAACAGAAACGTCTGTTCCACCACAGAGCATTCCTACTATACCAGCTTTGTATTTCCAAAGCATTTTACTTAATTTATTTTCATTTCATTTCAATAGTTCCTGTGATCCTAAGGTCTTTTAGAAACATGAGATAGGAAAGCATGCCATTCCCATTTTACAAGCAGAGTAATATATGCCCAGAGGCTGATGTTTTCCAGGGCCATGCAGGAAGCTTAGACAGAGAGGTGATTTCTTGAATGCCAGTACTGTCTGATAGCCAAAGACCACTAGGATCTGCTTCTAATTGAATCATTAGCTCATTATTATGTAGTATATTTTTGTTTGCTTTTTTTCTTTATAAATATGGATAGTTTGACAGTCTCCCTTCTACACAGTCTCAAATTTGATAAAAATTGAAATAAAATCTTCTTCATATTCTTCTAGAGACTGCGTGCAGTACTTCAGTTTAACGTGAATACTGTAGACACAGAGCTAAACTGACCTTGAGATGAGCCACACAGACCCATCTCTGGCTCAAACTGCGCTGTGATCAATCATCTCATACAACAACACTTTCCTAGACTAAATACTTTAAAAGTTACAACCCATCTTTACTCATTAAAATCAGAGTTTTCTATGCCATTCAGGCACTTAACACCTGAATGTTGAGATGCTTAAAACTGTATGTGATTACCTAGGTTTGGAAAGAATGCACAAGACGTAAATTATGCTTTATACTGAGTTCTCATGCTCTGGGGAATAATTTAATACTGCACCCACTCATGTAATCCACATTTCATTAACTGCAGTGGAGAGAAAATACAAATATTTGTACTGCAGTTACAGCTGTTTTCACTTAAAGCTGGTGCAGGATTTCTTTGGTTTGTTATCTTGGTCACTGTTGCCGATAGTTGCAACAACATTATAGGTGTTGGGAGAAGAATGCTGGCTTTATTAGATGTTCCACTGCAGGCAAAGGGCTTGGAAAGCTTCGTCTGTGCCAGTGTATCTATCTGACTGAGGCTGCTGGTCCAGGAAGGTGTGCGGAAACCGCAGAAGCAAAGCACATACAAATTGTCAAACAGCCATCAATTTTTTGATACTTTTCATTTTTATATCCCTGAGAGATATTCATCAACACACTTGAATCACAGTATATATGATTATATACTGTGTATATAAGGTATAAAATGATTCTGTCTGTCTACGTGCATATTCTTGTTCCAGAAGCACTACAAGGTAGTCGGGAGTATTTTGTTTTTAAAAACAACCATGTACAAAGTACTGTGGTATATTCATAAAGACATCCTTACACAGCCTTGACAGCAAATTTAACTCGAGACACTCTTCTCTCCAGTGATCACAACTGTATGCTCAGTCCTGAAATAATGAGCGTGAACTTTGAAGTGTATGTGGCCTTTTTTCCCTTAACTGTACGCTCAGGCCCACTAGGGACAGATCTGAGACTACTACAACCATTTCACTCAGCACTTACTGCTTTTCATATCTAAAGATAAATATGGGGGGGAGGGGATAAAAAAAATCCCTCCAATCCATAACACTAGGTGATATTGCATGCACTCTGTCTGAAGGTGATAAAAAAGGTAATAAATAGAGAATATGCAGATCTAAGGCGTAACGATTCTGAAAAGAAAAGGGAGTGTGCGAGGAGCCTCGTTTTCTTTGCATAGGCAGATGCCTGCAAAACCTACCGCAGAACAGAGTGTTCATTGTGCTGCCTCTGAACTGCTCGGTGTTGCAGAGCTGCTGTGCTCAGTAGTCTCAGAGGTCCTTCATTACAAGTTGCAGCTTCTGCCCTTATTCAGCCTGTACTGTTTTCAGATACCTTCTTTCTTTCCACGCCCTTTCTTGGTTTTGTTTCTAAAAAGCAATCATTTTCCTCTTAGGTAGAAGTGACTACTGGTGTTTTCTATGTGGTATAATGTCTGTTTATTGTTGCATGCCATAAACTTTTTTTTAATTATTTTTCAAGGAGTTGCCCTGTCCATATTTTTAATGTTTACTAATTTACCAGCCAAATTTACCAATTATTTTTTTTTCTGTGCTGTAAATAGATGGGAAATAGCACACACTCTAAACATCATAGACTGCATGGCTGCTCAGACCAACAATCCAGTTTTAACAGCAACATACATTTCTCTAAAATACAGTGGGAGCGCTAACTGCATTTGCCATCCAAGGTACCTCTCAGATGCACCCAATGTCTCTGCAGAGATATTCCCAATCTTTGGCTAAAGAAACTGAAAGCTCTGGGGGTTACGTGACTTCTGTAGGTCTATGCAGGAGGCTGTAGTACGACCTCCTTAGCCACCACACCATCCCTTATCCCCAGGGATAGGTGTACAACTTTACAGCTAAAGTCTTTAATAAGAGTATCTAATTTAAATTACAAAGAACGGGATTTCCATTCTGTATACATTCCAAGTCACTCTGAAAGAGAAATCTTACAGCTGACAGCTCATTAGTCTTAAACTGTACCAGATAATGGTTCCTTGGGCTTTGAGTGGCTTGTTACTGGTTAAATACACTGAAACAACAAGAAATGTTCAGCATCCTTCATCTCGGGGTGGGGGGGGGGAGTAATTAGAATCACAGAATCATAGAATCATTAAGGTTGGAAGAGACCTCCAAGATCATCGAGTCCAACCGTCAACCCAACACCACCATGCCCACTAAACCATGTCCCTAAGTGCCTCATCTACCCGTCTTTTAAATACTTCCAGGGATGGTGACTCAACCACTTCCCTGGGCAGCCTGTTCCAATGTTTAACCACTCGTTCAGTAAAGAAATTTTTCCTCACATCAGGGTTGTGCTTTGTTTATTAAATGTGTGTCCTGTGAACTATGAAACTCAAATATTGTCAATTCTTTCAGGAGGAAAATGAGATCCCTGCCAGTGTTTTTGCAAAAGAGCCTATTCCCAGCATTACAGAAGGAAAAGAGGATCCTGTGGATGAGAACAAAACACTGGAAGAAACCTTGCACACAGTGGAGTTGTGTTCAGATGATGAAATGTTTCACGAGGAAGACGATGTGGATGACAGTGCAGAGGAGAAAACAGAAGAATCAAGAGCTGAGAAACTTAAAAGATCCAGCCTCAAGAAAGTAGACAGCCTCAAGAAAGCATTTTCCCGCCAAAACATCGAGAAGAAGATGAACAAGATCGGCACAAAGATCGTCTCGCCTGAACGGAGAGAAAAGATCAAGAAATCGCTTACTGTACATCATCAGAAATCCTCTTCTTCAAAGAGTTCCGCTTTCAAAGTATCTCCCCTCACGTTTAACGTGAAGAAAGCCCATGAAGGAGAAAGCCCTGCTGAAGCTGAGGACAGACCAGCAGAAAGTACAAGCAACGACCAAGCTGAGAATGAGGATGAAATGTCATTCGCCGACATGCACTCGGATATGACACCTACCACCTCGCTGACCGAGGAGGGCAAAGCAGCAGCCGATTCTCTAGAGAAGGAAGCCAGAATGGAAGGGAACGCCATGATGAACAACAACATCGAGCTGTCCATTGTTGAAGATGATGAAGAGTATGGGATGCCTCCAGAAGTTCCTAGCCAGAAACTGTATGATGAAAGAAACAACCCAGTTGGCGGGGAAACAGAACAATCTGATGAAGAAACCACCCAAGCAGCTGTCCTGCAGATAGACCAAACAGCGTAATCAACCCGAGCCTTCCTTCACCTTCCAGATACGCATGGTTTTACTTAGGCGAGTAGGTGGTTTCTGCTAGACAGGCAGTATTAGAAATTCAGTTTCTTCCATCCTTTTCTCTGCAGTGGTAATTTATTGCATTGTGTTGGAACACAGAGTGAACAAGGTCAATGACACAGGCTGCAACATGCTCCGTTTTAGACCGAGTCACTGGTGTTTATTAATTTAGAGATGCTGTCAGCTGGCATAAGAGACTAGCAGGAAAAGAGTATGTCTAGCAGAAGCAAGCTGGTCAGCTGGCTTTCTTATAGTTAGGTCAGAGGAATGTGTAGAGAGTAGTCAAACCCCAAACATTTCTGTTGTGTTTTCTTCTCTGTCAGTATTTCACAGCACTGTGAGTAGTTTTGTATGTAAATGTAGAAATACCAATGAGAACGTTTGATTTCGGTTTCCGTGCTATGCTCCGTGAATACTAACAGCCTCAGTAACTGTGCATACACGTAGTTTGTTTGGGGCTTTGCTCCACGATGCTGTAAGCCTAGAAGAGCAGAGTATTTAAAGGGCGAAGCTGAAAAGTTGGTTCCATGAATTTCAGTGGGGGAAAGATTTTTACCAGAAGCCTCTCACTATTCACTTAGAAGAAATAACTGTGTTTAGGTGGAAATGAAAAGATGTTTTTCAAGTCTACCAGAGTTATGGAAATACATTAGCAACAAGCATGAATGTGTGATCAGCTACTGTACCTTTAAGGGATCAGAAATTGAAAAAAAAAAAAAAAAAAAAAAAAAAAAAAAAAAAAAAAAAAAAACCTAGAAGGAATTTGATAGAGGAATTTGATAGAAACATGGAGATAGTCTGAAGAAAGTATGAAATGCTATGAAATGTAAAAAAAGCAAAAATAAAACCCCGCAATATTAAATCTATACTCCCAGCTTAAAGAATATATACTCAGATAACACTAATGAATTAATTCTTAGTCTTTATAGCAATATACTATCAAACTTGCACCTGCACAACTTTGTATCTCAGAGTATTTTGAAAATAGCATAATTTATCTTTTTACAAATTATTGCATATATAGAGCTATATCTACACAGAAGAGTTAGATAATTACAGGGATGTAAGGACAATTTTTTCAAAAAGGTGAAATACTCTTTTAGGCATGTCTAAAGGGAACAATGTGTTATGCGTTGAACTTCATGGCAGGGATGTGTTTATGTAAGGATGAGTCTGCAAAGCCACAGGATTTGATTCTCTGCTAATAACTTTCATCAAAGCCACCTACCTGCTTTCCAAATTACAAGTCTGTAATTTTTCAAAATTCATTGAAAATGAGAGGTTACAGGATAGTTTTTCCACCATGAATGTTCATTCCAGTCACTTAACAAAGGTAAGGGGGAGGGGAACAAAGGGAAGCACAATACCCACAACAGTTACCTTACATCCTTGTTTGTTTATGCAGTGGGTGTTTTTATACATATATATGTATAAAATTCTACTGATACTTAATATTGCACTAAAAGGTTGCTTCCTTCAACTTGTATTTAGAATCACAAATTACAGGGGAAATAAAACCTACAGCAAAAATACCATTATGAAATGATTAACAGATATTACTCCACAGGGGTAATATCTGTAACCAGTAAATCACACTGGAAGTTAGTCAATAAGAGCTTAGTGTAGGCGGGTACTATTAAGAGTTAAGCTCTTAAGTGTATGGTATCATATGTACCTTCTCCCAAGTTACAAGTGATAGGACAAGAGGAAATGGCCTCAAGTTGTGCCAGGGGAGGTTTAGATTGGATAGTAGGAAAAATTTCTTCACCAAAAGGGTTGTCAAGCACTGAACAGGCTGCCCAGGGAAGTGGTTGAGTCACCACCCCTGGAGGTATTTAAAAGATGTGTAGACGTGGTGCTTAGGGACATGGTTTAGTGGTGGACTTGGCAGTGTTAGGTTTACGGTTGGACTTGATGATCTTAAAGGTTTTTTCCAACCTAAACGATTCTGATTCTATGATTCTTTATAGGAGATACTGTTTGTAAGAAAAATCATGGCATAACCTGTGCAGCTATATTTTTATTTTGTATTAACTACAATGGATTTAAATCATTTTTACTTGTAACTAACTACAAATATGGCAAATAAAAGCATAACATAAACCACAGTCATGTCAGTCTTCGGGAGAAGCAGTCTGAGAAGTTGGCAAAGATGAAATTTAAAGGTCAAGCATTTATTACTTCAGTTCATATCCCCGTTGTACCTATGCCATTTTCTTTCTCATCCTTTGCTGTTATTTAGCAACGCAAACGCCAGTGCTCAGACTTCACTTTCCAGACACTTGTCAGATCTCTAGCACATCTGAATGTAGTCAGGCACTTTCCAAAATCTGCTAACTCCATCTGCATTTTTTATTGGACTGCAGCATACTTCTAATACTTTAAATAGTCCTGAAAGCATATTTATATTGAAGTGTATATTCTGTTTATGCACACAGATAAATTCACGTTTGAGTGTCACATAGTCTTTAGGAGGCTTAATTTTACTGACAGACCAAAAAATGCACATTTAACCTTTATGTAACAGCTGTCAACTTCTCACAGCCACCAAGCGCTAACCAGGAACCCCAGCATCATGTTTACATTTCGCTTTCAGATATGCCTGGTTTGTTTGTCCTGTTAAGCTTTAATTCAAACAATACACCTGGCCACGCTTTATCCAGTTTTAGAGATGCTGAAATGAATCCCATGCGCAGTGTTTTAAGAGCATTACAATGCTATCTAGTAAAACCATTGGAAATGCAGATACTGGGAATCTCTGAGAATTAATTCAAATACCCACTTCAGGATACGCTACACACACAGCCATCAGTTTCAGGACTAGAATTAAACATTTTCTCCATCACAATCACATGTTTGCAAGGACAAGCAGGCCTGTAATCCTAACAAACATAAGAAAGCATGCTTTGCAAGAAAGAAAAAGTTTACGCAACTCACAAATGTCTGCTTTTGTGCTATCTTATAACCCAGAGATGTCCCCCAAGCTGTTTCTTCCCCTCTCCTTCCATTCTCAAGTCCTGACTAAAAACATTAGTCTGCAAAACTTAGTGTTTCAGGGAGGAGACAGACTGCAGCACCAGCAGCACCGTATTCTTTCCCGTATCTGAAGTATGTGCCTGGATCTTGTCAGGCTGGCAGATGTCAAGCATATGCACGGGTATTCCATGCTTGTGCTGACAGGTTTGTCTACGTAATTACTTTTTTTTAAAAACTGCTTGTTTACCCTTCTTGACACAATAACATGAGCATAGCATCTGCCCGTGAGCTCCACTCATACTATTATTCCGTGGAAGACCTGACCTGTTAGCTGCTGCACGGATTTAGAGTTTGACCTCCACTGAAATCGGTGGGACCTTTGCACAAAGAAAGAGGGTGTGATAAAGTCCTTACGGTATAAATATTTAAACTAGCAGCACTCAGCGGCTGCTGATACTTCCATTTTCAATGCCAGAAAACAAGCTGACATTTCTGTCCCCTTTTAGGGGAAAGGGCAAAGAGCATCCTGTTGACCCCCACGTGCTAATCTATGAGCCAGCTCCTCTGTGAAAAGGCACAGATATGGGCTTTCTGGACCATTTCACTGTCAAGTAAGAGAGTGCAGTGAAAGCCCTCACAGGGGGCCTGACTGAAGCATGTTTGATGATTAAAGAGACAGAAGAAAGGGAAGAAGAAAAGGATCAAATGGTAAAATATACCTGTATGCCCTTTACGCTGATGCAATGAAAACCAATTGTTCTTACAGGCTGTAATGCCAAACAGTTACGTGACTGCTGACTGATATAGTCACACACTTAAAAAAAGAGGTAAACTCTGAAGAATTAGTGAAGTAATGCCAATTTGTTCGAGGGCAAACTGTTCGGCAAGGGACCAGTCGAACTCTGAAAGTCAGTGAAAAGCCTTCAGCTGGCTCAAAGGACTCCCTGAGCCATACAACGTTTTTGGGCCACACGTACAACTCCTGTGACCATCAGTAAGAGCTGTGTGCATAGATACAGGACATGAGATCTGTGTATCTCCCCAATCCAATCTGCTTAGCTCATCAACAGAATAAAAAGTTTTACTGCCATCAGCACGGCAGATGCAACAGTGTGGCAGAAAGGAAGGCTATAGCCTGCTTTGCAGGGTGCATCGTGAGCAAAATTTCAAGCTAAGATCTGACTGCAAGGTCTTTGCTGTCAGTAACTGCATACAACGGAGCAAGTGTAGCTCCAACTCCTGAAAACAGTCAAGTACGCAGGTAGAAGAGTTTCACTGTGATCCACTAAGACACACACGCTTACTCTAGGTGTCAAGAGGAAGGTGTCAGGTAGTTTTCCTGCATGCAAAGAAAGAGAGTCATGACCCCGAGCAAAGCAAGCACACAGCTGTTTGGCCCCAGTCCTGGTTATGGTTTTGCCTAGGCAACTAAACAACTGGCAGGAAGCAACTGCCAGAGCAGCCCGAAGGGTGCTGACTCAGCACATAAGTATCCGCCACCCTCTGACTCCCTTTCCCAAATAAATGGAAAAAGGCTGGCAGCCACTTTCCACCACTTTAAACTGCCCGTTGCCAGGGTTTTGTTTCAGGATCTGTGTTTGAACCAGCACCAACCCCAGGCTGAGTCTAACTCCATGCATAAAGAAATTTTAATCAGCATACTTGCAGCTGTCGTTGGTGGCTGATCTTTCCTGCCCTCCTTTTGATCAAAATGTCTTTTTTTCTCTTCCTCTCACTCCGCTGAGTCGTTTGCGGGAGTCTGAAGTGCACACTAATTCAAATAAGGAACTCTCTCTAACTGCATGTTGAAAACTGATAATCAATGTCATCTTTAATTTTTCTTACATGGTTATCCCCTTTAATGGAGTGTGCTGCAGTAACTGAGAATAAATCTGCTTTGGGTTAAGCTAGAGATTGTTATTTATTTTTCTTTCAGATCAGAGATTAATATTGCTGTATGACCATTGGCACTAACCTCTTTTTCCATAGCAACACTAAAGAGAACATAAACTATGAGTCATAATTTCTCTCTGGAGGACTTTTTTGTAATTATGATCATTCCACAGTTCCTAAAATATATTAGCTGATATATAGCTCTGGTATAACAGCTTTGATTTTCCTTCGTTTGAACACACAGACAGAAAGAAGAGACGTCCATTATTTTCTCTTTCTCAGGGTGAACTAAACACTACACAAAGTACCATACATTCATTATTCATTATAACCGTGTGGCTCCTAAAAACTCCATGGCAACATTTTCCTTACAAAGGTGGAACCAGTTTCCTTGCTTTCAATAACCTTAAATGATACTGACCTTCTAAAAGAAAACTTGTGTCCTTCCCAACATGGTTAGTAAATTGGGGTCTGACAGCTGGAACCGATCCAAACTAGAAACTGTATTATACTGGGTGGCAGCAAGGTTGCAAACTAGCATTGCTCCTCTGCCAGTCAACAGCTTTAAACTCTCCGGCATGTCCTCTCCCACAGAACACAGCTTGCAATATACAGCCCAAATTCAGTAATAATCATGATTCTCCTTACTCCCTTCAGTGAAAATCTGGCCTTGGAACAACTTACCTGTACAGCTCCTTGGAATATCTCAACAGATGATCACACCAGATCATGACAAGAGATTGTAAGACTTTTTTTTTTTTGTGTAGCTGTCTCCTACATTTCCCTTACAACATAGTCTGCTGCGTGCTGGTGCGAAGCGCTCAG